TGCTGCAACAGAAACTATAAAGCAACAACTTATTTATGTTGGTGAAGAAAATGGAAAATTAACTGCTATACGGCAAATGATTCAAGAAGGTGGATTGAAACCACCTGTTCTTATTTTTGTTCAATCAATTGAACGTGCTAAAGAATTATTCCATTGTCACACCCAAACTAACCTCTTCAAGTAGTTCAAGGGACGGGGGACGACTATAGTATGAAGACTATAAACTTAGATGATATGGACGGTAAATGGTAAAGTCTTTACTAGGACTTTATGAAAGAGGATTTGTATAAGGCTTTATAGAAAGAGGCACAACCTGAATATATATGAAGATATATAAGGTTGTATTCAATGCTTTACAACAATAATGTTAACAATGGACATTCAAGTCATGTGGTCACTCAAAAGTATTTTATTATAGAAAATAAGAAAATTTAGCATGTATGAAGACACGGTCATTTTATCTAACCAATAAAGTAACTAGATAATACAAAAGAGATAAGAAAATACTATTCTAAGGGTGAGAATTCTATACTAATGGAGTTCTAATGAAAGGTAAGGGAAAAGCAAGGGCTTTTTATACATATTTTGGGGAAGTATCTCTTTAATATTCTATTCTTTCGTTGGTTCTTTTCAATTTTAAACTAATACATCTTTTAATTTCAACTTGCTTCTAAGTGAACCACTTGATTAGTTTTGCTGATGATTAAGAGATGCAATGTATTCTGCACTTTTAACTTACGCATTATTTTGCAGATCATGCACTTTTAGGGCATGCATACTGTGGCTTCTGGGAACTAAAGGGACCCCGATTTTTCTAATGTAACACCATGAACTAATTTATGATGATATTAATGTTGATGTTATTCATGCTGAAAGAACAAAAGCTCAGGTAATTAATATATTACATGTACCTTTATTCAAATAAATAAATTTTTTATATTGATTTTTTTTTCAAAAATTCAGAAAGATTCAATTATTTTAAATTTTCATCAAGAAAAAATATGAATGCTGATAGTTACTGAGTTGATGGTATGTGGTATAGATTTTAAGGGAGTAAACTTGGTTATAAATTATGATTTTTCACAATTGATACAAAGTTATATTTATAGAATTGGTAGAACTAGTAGAGCTGGTAGAGCTGGTAAATCAGATGATGCCATTACTTATTATACAAAAGAAGATGCTTTTTATTTGAAGAGGTATATATATATATATTTATTATTTATTTTATTAATACTTTTATTATTTGGCTTAATAGTATAGTGAATATAATAAAAGGTTCAGAATGTAAGGTTCCTAATTGGATACTTGAATTGAAAAATCCCTCAACAGAATCCAAGCAGCAATTATGTAAAAAACCCATTAAACGTAAGACTATTGATACGAGATTTGATTATGACAAGAAAAAAATAAAATATAAAAGATATTAGTCTTAATTTTATTTTAATTTTTATTTTAATTTTTTTTAATGAATTTTTATTAATTTTTTTTTTTTAAAAAAAAAGAGAAATAATTGAAGCTTCAATTAAGAGAAAAAATAAAAAGAACAAAACATCAACTAACAATTAAGAGAGTCACTAAGCTAAATTCTTGCAATATTTTTTAACTATGTAATAATTACAACTTAAGTTCTAAATTTTTATTTGAAGCAGCATTAATATTAGAGTTTTATTTAAATTAATATATTTCTCTTCAAATATGTACAAGAAAAAAATTTTACATTTAATAAATAAATAACTGGTTATTATTTATTTCAAATCACAATATTTATTAATATTTCGTGTTTTATTGTAGTAACATGCTATCTAAACTTTTTTTAAATTATATTATGGTTGATGTTACTAGTTTTCCAGATTATACTATGTGAAGGATAACATCTTGTGATCTCTTAAGTATATTGTGTAGTGTTCGTAGACATATACAGTTGAAATCTTTAGTAGAAAAAGGCTAATCATAAATAATTTTTATTCTTTACAAAATTTTTTTATTGCAAAGAGAAGGTATATAATTGACCCTTTCTAAAACAGTAGTCTTAAGCAGAAAACAACTCAATTTTGAGAATGTCTTAAAAGTATACATAAAAACTAAATTTTTATGGGCATAATCAAAATTTTAAAATTATATAGTATAAATATGAAACATGTTTAATAATGTAAAAGTAATAGTCATCAATAATATAATGAAGTCAGAGTAGTAGTTTTTAAAGATAATTTTCCAAACTCTGTCTCTGAATTAACCAAAGACCATTTTGGGAAATGTCCAAATAAATTAGCATAGTATTTTTTAAAAGCAGGTTTATAAATGCTAATTATTTAATGTTTGAATAGAAAGTATCAATTGCTCTTAGAGATAATAATTCTTCTAAGAAGATTTCTGAATTGAGGTTTCACTAAATGCTTTTCTAATCTAGCACACTAATCAAGATTTTGCTGCAAAGAGACAAGCACTAATCAAAATACTAAAAATATAGTTTAATTTGTTTTTAAAATAATAAAATACTAATTTTTTTTTTTTTTTCAAGGTGAGATCGCTTCTCTAGATACTTTTTATTATGTTAACTGTATATCTATTATATCTATTACAGACATGTGATACAAC